CCCACGCAGCTCACCTTCTCTGCCCTAGGAGCTTGGGATGGCAGCGGGGGAGCTTCCTTCCTGGTGCTGGGACCGGCTGAGCTTCTCTGCCCCTAGTAACCTTTCTTTACTCAGAGCTCATGTGCAGTTCATCCATATGGACTGTATCTCATATGTCCAATTATAACAGAGTGAATTATGGGAAAGGACATATGTGCTAGATACAACTGACATGACTTAGCACCATGCCAATCATTGTGATGGTTTGTGTTTAGATGTCCCCCCAAAGCCTCATGCAGATGAGGTGGGACTTTCTTTTTCAGAGGTAGTTGAATCTGGAATGTGTGATGCTGGGGTTAAGGGCATGTGATTACTAAACCACTACATGTGAGTGATTAGTTTGGCACCATCCTTATCATGGTAGTCTGAATAAGATAAAAGGGGCAGAAAGATGCTGTTAAACTCTTGTTACCTTTGCTACCTTGTTGGTGCCATGTTGTTTCTCCTCTGTGACACCTGTTTGTCATCTCTGCCTTGGAGTTGGCCAATTATGGACTGATACCTCCACAAACTGTAGGCCAAATAAACTTCTTCCCCTCCAACTTTGGGTGTTGGGTATCTTGTCTCAGCAGTGAGAGAAAAATCACTAACACAATCATGTTGTCAATCATGCTCTGGAAGACATAATGGGAGGTCCTCTAGACCTAGGACAGCATTTTACACTCTTAGACCTAATGCCTTCAAGCACTTGTGCCATTTTCCTTTCCATGGGCATGAGCCCACTCACTGAGTGTACTGGTGCCTAAATTAACTCTGCTGCTTTCCCCTTACCATTGAATGCAATATCCAATTCTTTGTTTGTCATGGACAAGAACCTAGAAACCCTTTCAGGACCCCATCACCCATGGTAACATCTTGGTGAGCCAGCCAGTGGGTAAGACCCCCTTTTGAGATTTTATATTTCTTCTCTTAGATGGCCATCTCAATTTGTTTTTCTCTTTTCCTAGGGACTTGTCCTACCATCAGTTCTTAGATTGCCACCTTCCAGGCTCCTCATCCATTAGACTTTCCTCAGATCTTTGTAAGTGAACAAAGCGAGGTCCACCTGCATTACTTGTAACACTTAAGGAAAAACTTACAGGGACCAGGAGGCCCCACTTCCCCGGATAGTGGGTCATGGCTAAAGACCATATGTCAAATTATTCACCTCTGTCAGCCAGGGTCCCCAAGAGACACCTATGCAGAAAAATTTATCAGGGTTTATTGAAGTTTATCAGGGGGAAGTGCCTACTATCCATCCCTAAACAGGCACACCATGATGTTAGGTGATTCTATAATTGGCTAGAGGTGTCCAGCCAGTAGGGCACCTCAGCTCTGGATCCCTTCTGTCTGGGAGATGAGTCGTAGCTAAAAGGGGACACCCAAAGGTCCAAAGGAAGTATCACCAGTGCCCACATAAGGCCAGAGATGTCAGACATCTGAATCCCGGGGAGTTTGCCTTTACCAGGGCCACCTTACTGCTGCCTACAGACCCATCATGAGGTATATTCATTCCACCTGACTTCCTGCCTTCTCAGACACTGGGATAAATTTAACCCTTCACAGGCCATGTTCTATGCCATCCATGCCTCAGGAGATAAAGACCTTTCTGAATCCACCTCATCCTAGGTCTGAGTGTGCCTAACATAAGGGCTTGGATTTAGAGAACTTGACATCTAAGCCTGCCACCATTCTACCCCCCTAAGAAGTGGCATGTACAGATGGTACTGTTTGAATTCAGGCCCTCTTTTCAGTCATGTATATCCAACAATGCAAAGAGAAACTGGGTAAAGTTTTTGGGGACCCTAAGAAGTTTGCTGACAGATTCCATACCCTGACAAGTTTTTGATCTGACCAGGCAAGAT